GGGGGGGGGGGGGGGGGGGGGGGGGGGGAGGGTACTCATAGTCGTGCATTCCGAAGTCGTCAGACCATTGACCTCGCATCCCTACAAAGCCGGGACGGAGCACGCCGGGTTCTCACCGGACCAGGCTCTCACATCACCAAGCGCGAAGCGCCGTGAGATATTTGGCGAGTCGCATCAAGGGTGTGCTGCATCCTGCTAAGGGTGTTCGGCATTTTGTACTCACTTCTTTGCGTACGGATGACAGCTGCGTACGACTTAATATATTTATGGTGCTTTCACTTCCAAAGACAGCTGTAAGCACTGTGTAACTGCCTCGAGGGTGCTTGACCAATTTAACGCAACGTGGGCGATTACCCCCTTTGCGCGGAGTGAGGGTTCTCGACCCCGCACAACATAATCTGTTCGGCCACCATTCATGGTTACCGCAAAAAAAAAACAAGGGCAAAAAAAGAAGCGGTAAGTGGTTGCTGAGCTCACGAAGTGATCGGCATGTTTACAACATCGCTGCCAAGCGACGAAAACCCAACCCCGATGGCAAACACCGGGGAGGGCAGCTTGTTTTACAACGTCGTTGTCACACGAAGAAAACCCAACCCCGATGGCAAACACCGAGGATGGGGGGAGGGGGGTCAGGATTGATGGTGCGAAGCTAGGAAACTCACCTCTATCAATGCACCATGGATAGTCTCTCAATCTCTCTCGCTGATTCGTACGCACTGGCTGTGGTAACGTGTTCAGAAAAACGTGTCCAATATGTCGATACATCCCGCCTGATTTTCCGGACCAAGAGTTCCTTTGCAGGAGGTCCAATATTGGCAACTTCTTGAACAGGACGATCGGGTTGGCTCACCAAATGCTCGGAGGCCGTGGGATTGCGGGGGGTCTCCCGAATGGACACCAGTTGCCGAACGTGCTCCAAAACCCATCGGTCCAGGAAACGCCCTCCGAGGACCTAAATAACAGGACAAGGGCGTGTCGGTGACATCTTGTACCTGGAATGCATAGTGGACATGATTTTTGACACTTCTGCATAGAGGGTGAACTGAAATAGCATCATACATATATATATGTATCTTGATTATCCATATTCGTAAGACAAAGCCTTAGCGTCTGCGCAGCGATCATACCTACGCGCAAGCGTTCGTCGGTGATAGAGTTCACCGTGTCACAACGCCAGCATCACCTTGAGGACGGCCAGCATGGCCTGCGCCCGTGCCTCTTCGTGAGCTTGCGTGAGGTGGTTGATCAGCATGGGCATGACATCTGCCCGATCGCGGAAATCCCGTCGGTGCCTGTCGGAGATCCACTGTGCGGCCTCCTTGTGTAAGCTCTTGCGAAGCTTGAAGGGGGTGGAAGCGTACACCTATAATAGTAGTGACCGGCAAGCAGCCACACACAGCACGGCAGCATGGGCAATTTGCGGTGGGATTGAAGGCAAGAGACAGGAGGTAGTCAGTTCCAGCTGATACGTGGCATCACAACATTGGGAGCACCACACCGACCGTGTTGGTAGATGATATCATGCGACCCACCACTCCCTCCCACAAACAAGTCCCACTCTGTCCGCCGACGTGGTCCGATCGAATCCAAGCGAACTATACGTGTGCTGGCTGCCGTCCGCACCTGATCCATCAGCATCATATCGTCGCAGACGAACGTCTTTCCTCCTTCACACAGCCTCAGGAACCCCCCCGCCTCGAGCATCGCGAGGCAAGTGCGCAGTGCCTCCTCCCCGGCCCCCGGTTCCGAGTGGGCACCCGCCGACTTGTCGATGGCCGAGGTCGCCCTTCGAGCGGTCGCCGGGCTGGAAGGCGATGTTGTCCGCAAGCCTGCGTCCCCTCCTGAGTCACGTGCGGTAAGCCTCCCAGGGACGTCCGAGCGCGTCCGTTTCCGGTCTTGCTCTGCGCCCGCCGCCCCTGCCTCGTCTCGCAAGAACTCGGTCATCGCCGCGGCTGCCGCTTCAGACATGGACTGCACACGCGGGCGTGACTGTCTCGTCGAAATTTCTGCCGTAGGTGGTGCTGCTTCCGCATCGGCGTGTGCCATCCCGCTGCCGCCGCCGCCGCCGCCGCCGCCGCCACCGCGGAGGATATCGCGGCGTTCGATGGCTCCCCTAGCAACCGCCGACGCCAGAGTGCTGGCGGCGTCGGTGGCCGGGGTCCTGGCGACGCTGGGAGAGGTGTTGACAGGAGACAAGGTCAAGGACCGCCGGGGGGGCGTGCCTGTTCGGCGACGGAAGCGGCTGCTGCGGCGCCGTGTGGGCGCCTCTCCGCTCTCGTGTTGGGACACCACGGCCTTCCAGTACTACGCCCATGTGTTGACGTTTGTGGTCGGGTTTGTTTTGGAGGCAGAAAGGGGAAAGGATAGACGGGTGGAGGTAGGACGTGGACATGTGGGGAGGTCGGGTGTCCTGCGTGGTGAAGAGGTTGTTTTTGCACCCCCAAGTAAATAGTGTTCGGGACTGCTGTGCATTGGCCCAGCTTAGGCCTTCGATCAACTCTCAAGATGTGCATCGACGTGTCTGGACAAAACTCAAGAGGTCGGAGGAAGGTCGTGATTTACCATCGTGAGGAGGAGGTTGGGCAGGGTGGCTCGGCTGATACAAATCCCGACCTTTTCATCAGCAAAAGATCAGCAGCCGTCGCAATAGCAGCGGCAGCATACCTCTTTGAAAGGGGCGACGTTGGTCAGTAGGTGAAGCAGGAGGTCCATCTCGCCGACACCCGCGACGACCGTGACGCATACCACTCGAAGCACCACCTTCGAGTTTTCCGAAAAGGAGGGATCAACAAGCTCAACAAAGAGGAAAATGAGAGCAAACGCGTGCACCTCTCGCTCTTCGAGTGCACACTCGAAAAACAACAAGCTGGAACACGGAAAAGCAGTGAGTAATACGGTACCGACAACACCTGGGACTACCGCCATTATGTCCAGAAACAATGCCCTAGATACGAGCTGGTCGCCGAGAGGAAGCATAGATTCGCCCCGCTGCTGCTGCTCCAGCCTCCACGTCGAGGGTGGACCACCTTCAACGGCGAAAACCAATCGGCCACATGAGCACACACACCACGCTCTCTGCAACACATGCGCCCAAGAGATCACCAAAGGTGCCTTTACTGGGGTAGTGATACGTCTGGCTACCAACTCTGCCCCCATCAAGCGGGAGGGTGGTATGTATAGCCCTCGTCAGCAGCTCCATGCCGAACAGAAACAAACACGCACACCAAACCATTTTGTATCGTTTCCTTCGCGCTGCAGCGAGACAGTCTACGCTGTGGTCGTCAGAAACCGACAACCACGGAAGCCGCTCCACCTGTCTGGCGGTGTAGGGCAGCTCGTCCAGTCTCCTCTGCAGGGCCCCCTCCACCCCAGCCGGCACTCTTGACGCCAGCTTCAAGACATGGGCGAACTCGTTCAACCTCAGCCTCCAGGTACCGTCCTCCCCCACCTCGCCGAAGCTCGTGCCGCCACTGCTGCCGCTACCGGCGGCGGCGGCCCCTCTCGAGGTCCCAGTGAGACTCCGGCAGAGGTCCGCCAGGTAGGACACTCGCCCCCTCGTCCGTGCCCACAGGATATGAGACACCTGTTCCAGCAGGCAGAGATGAAACCACCAGCGGAGTGCTTGTGAATCATTCAACCAGCTTGTATCTTATCAGTGTCGGATCTCACGAGCCTCTGCACTGCCTGCCACAGAAGCGGCGCGTCGCAAGAGGCTGAGTTTCCTGTGCTCCCGCGCAAGAAGGCACCATCCAAGAGTGACCAAGTCGGTCTCCTAGCTTTCACCCCAAGAGTTGAGTGATTTTCTTCTGATTCGCCACAACACTTCACCCTCGCGACGTGATGACCCTATGAGCCCCGTCCCTCCGCACCCCCTATCCCCAAGAGTGTGGTTGGGTCTTCCCCTACTGTTTCGGGAGGCCGCCGCCGTCGCCAAGATCAAGCGTGTGCGAGCCCTGGGCAGCCCCCTAGACATACGACCGGCCCACATTATGACTTCAAAGGCTGCATGTGATGTCTCAGAGCAGGGTTCGCTACCCCCGAGGGCATGACTGGTCGACACCAACAGGAATGTTCCCGATTGAGGGGGGGTCCTGATGCACCAGAAAAATTCGTGGCCGCATCAAACAGGATGTAGCGGTACTCGACGGAGTGAACGCCACACCCAGGAGGCAGGCAATTGAGTGTCTGTGTGTGCACCAGAGTAAATCAAGGAAGCCGACTCAGCGTTTCTTACGGCACACGCACAGAGGCTAACTCCAACGCGCTTAAGGCGTAGGTCATCGTTAAGCCATGCCTTCGGAAAACCCGGCGCCAACACCTCGCCGTCACATACCACCACCGCAGGTTGCAACAACGTACGACACCGCCTTGACCGATTATTAAAGCTCGATTACGCTGCAGCAAAAACGCTGGCTGTGCCGAAAATGAACCGTCTCACCGAGAGAACTCTGAAACCTACTACTGATGTGTGCCATGCTTCTCAGTCGAGGAGTAATCGTCCGTTGAAGATCGGTCCAGCGGGTGTGGAATCTTACGCAACCCACGGTGCTTTCGGGGAGACCGGCTGCTATTCGTTCCTAAGCACCCTACGAAGCAGGAAACAGCGCCGGAAACACCGGCTTCGTCGGAGTATCTATCCACACACAGGCAAAACACGCGATCACACATACCTCGTCATGGACGGCATCGGCATGGAAGATGCACGGCAGCAGAGCCTCGAACGCCTCCCGGCTCAACACGTCCCCGCCCCTCTCACTACCCAGGCCACCGCCACCGCCGACGCCGACGCCGACGCCGACGCCGACGCCGACGCCCCGGGGACCCACGTTCTCCGCCGCCCCGACCGGCGAAACGCCTCTAGCGTCTTCCGCTGTCGCTCCTCCTCCCGGCAAGCTTCGGAGATTCTGCCACGAGGCGAAGCGTTTCGCGGCCGCGGCCGGGAGTGGGTCCTCCCCGATTCTGCTACCACCGCCGCCGTCGCCGCCGGATTCCGAAAACACGTCCTCTACACAAGAAAATGCCGAAACGAGAGGTTTGGTTTCAAGGGCAGTGGAGCGCGTGTGAGCCACTCTATTAGGTGTGTTGACAAAGGTGCAGGCACTTGAGGTGGGAGAGGGGGGGATTGTCGCTGCAGCCCAAACTTCCGGCAAAACGGGACAAATGCCTGGACAGGAATGGGCCTCGATATTGATGGAGGTACAACAGTGAAGGCCGAGGCTGATGAGGCTATCTCGGCGCTCGTGTTCCTTCTCACTCCGGGCCGGGTGTGTGCGAAGCGACCAGGGCAAACCCTCCCAGACCAGTCACAAGCGCCCGCCAGAAACTCATTATTCGGTGCTCGACGCGCCATCAGGCAAAATCCTCTCACTTCGCGCAGCCCTCGCTCTCTCAATTGATCAGTGAAGCAACCAATAGGGAACATATGTAGGTTTTGGTGTATTGTGGATTGCGTGTACATCGGGTGCGAGCGTTTCACATGTTTTCGACATAGTCGAACCCTCAGCTACTCTACTACCAGTTTCTCAAGTGCGGGCTCGTCCAAAATTGGGAAGACTTGCGCACGACTGTCAGCGGGAACCATGGAGTGCTCACACACCCCCCCTGCCAATCTAGACCGGGGGGGGGGCACACAATGCATCAAGCGTTCTCACCCTCACCACAACCTCAACCGCGCGCCCCCGCCTCACCTTCCCAGAATGTTCCCCGCCCCGGGGTTTCCAGTCGGTAGCGTTTCGAGTCGTCCAGCGACGAATCGTTCCGGAGAAGGGTTCCGCCGAACACCGCACCAGCACCAACCAGTGCCTCTGACCCATCACCTGCGGGGGGATCGATAGTGCGATGACGGGGCAGCGGCGGCGGCGGCGGGGGTATTCTGCCACCGCGCCCGCCGACGCGTCCCAGAATCACTCCCGGAGGGGCGGGAGCGGGTGCCCCGCGCATGCTGCCCAGGACGGGGTCCGGCGTTGTGCTTGTACTGCCGCCGTGCGAAGCGTCTCTCAGATGGCCCGAGATATCTGCCACCGCGGTTTTGGAACACAGCGCCGCAAGGGCAGCGGCAACGTCGTCGGCGAGGCTGGGCGCGAACACGTCCACCTTGGAAGTCTTCCCTTTAACCTGCCACGATGGGGGTGGGTGGACTTAGTACTGCCCACGGGCGTCGACAAAATAGCAGTAGTCATTAGACGGCCATGGATGGATCTCTGCATTCCTGCATATTCATGACGGCCATGTTAGATTTTCCCTCGCCAGGAGGGACCAAAATACGAGGCACGCGGCCAGGAGGGAGGGGTGGTGACTGCCTGATGAACTCCAGCGGAGAGTGCAGTTGAAGGGAATGTCGGGGGCGGGCGCCATCATCAATCTGCGTCCTGGGCCTTCGCACGAGGTCAGGTCGCCAAAACCAGCCTGAAAAGACTCGCCTCGAAAGTCACCAGACCGACCCAGTCGCAGGTTCCAAAATCGGCAATCCTTGAACCGAACGGTGCACGCTCAATTGTTGTAATGCCCAAGACCTAAAGAAACGCATTTGCACGTCTCAGACACAAGCAAGATGTCCATTGCGCACAATACGCCAGACACAAGTAGCCAACCCTGTCAATCAAGTGCAGACGTACGTTGTGCCAGACACAAAAAAATCCGAGGGTCTCATGTCTCAATACTAAGGCTGAGGCCGTGCATAAACATATGCACCCCCCCCCGGTATTTGCCATCGGGGTTGGGTTTTCGTCGCTTGGCAACGACGTTGTGAAACAAGCCAATTCACATCGTGAGCTCGGCAACCAGGTAACCCTTTTTTTTTGTACCTCTGTTTTTTTTTCGGCGGTTTCCATAATGGTGGTCGAGTAGATCATGTTGTGCGGGGTGGAGAACCCTCACTCCGCGCAAGGGGGATGATCGCACCACGTTGTGTTAAAATGGTCAAGCACCCTCGAGGCAGTTACACAGTGCTTA